CAACACTGATACTTTACTTATGGATCCACTTCTTACTCCCCTAGCCCTGTCTACGTGGTCCCAACACGTATTACGGATCAATGTTTATGCCTTAAGGCTATATGGAAGATGAGTTTGCTTGTCCGCTGCCACTGGTGTGGGTACGGCGAAAATTGGAAACATCTCTAAACCAGAATAATATTCATGGAAAATATTTCCCTTGCTCAACATCATTCGAATATTATGATATGTAAATGGTAATTTGTTTCGATCGCCTGGAAGGTGACTATTACCGCACGCCATATTGGACTCTGGCTTTCTTGTTAAGCCGATTATACGCCCCAGGCTGATTGCATTTGTCCTATATTCAAACGATTCCTAAGGTTCAGGAGATGATTTCGCGATTAGCGCTGTAGAAGTGAGATAACGTAGCTACGTTTGTGCTCTACGCTAATAAATCTACTAGAATTCTACTAATATTATGAAGAATACTTCCCATTGACTGAGGTGTATAAGACTTGCAGTATGTTTGCCGTCATCACAGCAGAAGTGCTGTGGAAATAACTGCGGTAAGCATCAGGTCTATTACTCTCATATGTGACAGACCATGGGGTACAAAAGCCTCCTTTTCTGAGGGGTCGGCTAAGTTATCGAAATTGGAATCTCAGGCATCGAGCACCTCGCTTATTTTTGGTAGGACTCCAAAACACGTACTTTCTTTAGCAAGTCAGTTCATTTCTTATATATTTTGTGCCGTTGGGCACACCAGAACAGTGTAACGGTCAGATTCTTGATTTGGATTCGGCGGATATTAGGTTCAAAAATGATGTTTCATGGGCTATCTGCTTTCACAATTTTGTGAATTTGTGTCTTAACAATATCGTCAAGCAAGTATGGGCATACTGTTTTGGCCCAAGCAGCCTCTTTCTCAAAACCTTACCTACTCAAATCTGAAGATAACTTTTATTCTAGCCGACACTGTGTAAGTTCTTCCCTTAAAATACCAGCATTAATAAAGTAAGCGTTGTTATTAGTTGAGCGGAATAAAACGCTATTCAGTCCAAATAATATGGACCTACGAAAAATTATGCAGAGTAGAAAAATGAAATAATTATATAATTCTTTGCGGAAGACATGGAAATTAGAAGTTAATAAGCAACGTATGGCATACCGTCATATCTGACGTACTGATATATCACCTGAGGGGTAACTGTTGCAGTTTTATTACGATTGTTATATGTGACAGAGTTTCGTATTGGACGTACTGATAAGTCACGTGAGATTCAACTGTTGCTGTTTTATTTGGAACGTTACGCGTGCGGCATACGTTTTATTAGAGAAATCACATGATGTGTAACAATTGTTTGTTTTGGGGCTTTATGTGTGGCATAGGTTCATCCTGGACGTTCCTCTTCGTCAAATTAAAGACAACTGTTGCTGTCTCACACACTATCAGCAAACAAATGGTGCTGCACTTGCCCACTTTAGAGCAGGCAAATGTAGCACTTCCTTCGACTGATGGTGACAGCAGGCGACGGACAGGCGTCGCTGAACGATTGTGGCTTCAGTCAAGTCAGCTTCGTTCAATTATTCTATCCATGATGGGCCGAGCCTTCATAAAGTGGAACCTATGTTTTCCGCTCCACTTCATGTCAATTCAGGCTGGGCTTGTGGATAGGACTGAGGTGGCTCGGTTCATTGCTCTCTGTACTCAAATTTCCGCTCTTGAATTCTGATACGTCCTGAAATGCTTATCAGAGTTACGGTTGATCTCAAGGATTGTAGGGGGATAGATGTAGCGGTATTGCTACATGTCCATACCCAAATACACTGTACTTACATATATACATAAATAAATGTACTTGCGGAGGTGAAGTCACCGGATCTCTCGAATTGAGATTTCGCTTGGGTTTCTTTTTTGGGTCTTTCGAGAAAAATGTTGAAAGGCATTTTGAAATAGTCCACGATGTGTTTATGGTGAGAGACCGCTACATGAAATGTGTATGTATGGCTCATATAAATATGCACAAGTGCATGTGCTACATGTTTGTGTGGAAATATATGTACTTACCGCAAACATTTTGGACTGTGAAAAAGGATTCACTTGGTTTCATTTCATATTGTAGTACCCAGTCAAAATTCGAAGACAATTTCTGGAATGTAAGGGAATAAACATGCAACACGGACATATCTGTTAGTTTATGTAATGGCCATAAATATTTGCTTCTGTTGGTACCTCAGTTGATATAGCGACGGGCTAAGAGATGGACGGCCGGGGTTCGATCGCCGGCAGGGGCAAGATTTTTCTCCTTCTCATAGCATCCAGATCGGCTCTTGAGCTCAACCAGCCCCTTATCCAACGAGTACCGGTGGCGATTTCCCAGGGGGTAAAGCGACTGCGGCGTGAAACTCACTACTCAACTCAATCTAGTGCCGAGGTCAAGGATGGTGGAGCTCTACCGCCACTCTCTCTCTTATGTTTCATGGCATAGAGCTTAATTAGTTCAGAACAAGTATTACTTACTTACTCACTCATGGAGCTGAGCCCTTCTGGAGGAGCCGCCAATTCTGCAGCTACTCAAGGATTTCCCAGCATTTTATGGAACCCGAAAGTTCATTATCGTGTTCACAAGAGCCCTCCACTGGTGTCCATCTTGAGCCAGTTCAATCCAATCCATACCATCCCATCCTCTCTCTCTAAGATCCATTTTAATATTGTCCACCCACCTACGCCATAATCTTCGCAGTGGGCTCTTTCCTTCTGGCTTTCCCACCTATATCTTATACGCATTCCTCGTCTCCCCTGTTCGTGCTACATGCCCTGCCCACATCATCCTCCTTGACTTGATCATTCTAATTATACTTGGAGAAGAGTACAAGTTATGAAGTTCCTCATTGTGCAGTAGTTCAGCACAAGTATAGCTTTAAATTTACCTCAGTAATAAGCACAAAGCCGGTCACGGTAGCCGAGCGGTCTAAGGCATGCACTGTCTTCGCTCGCTCGGAAGCCGGGATCGTGGGTTCGAATCCCACTCAGGGCATGGATGTTTGTGTGCGTTTTTCTATGTTTTTCTACAGGTAGAGGCCTTGCGAGGAGCTGATCACTCGCCCAAGGAGTCCTATCGTATGTGTTAGATCTAGAAAAACCGAAGTGAACAGAGAAGTTCATGGGGGTAGGCCTAGGCCCACTGGGGCTGTAGTACCAAGGAAAAAAAATAAGCACAAATGTTCATCTTTTCTCTCAGTGTCACTGATATATATGCTGACATATTTTTTCTCTTTCTTCTTGCTCTCGCTTTGGAGCATAGGACTGATTTCTCAGTTTCATGATCATTTCAGAGATGGTAGGACTCCTTTGACGGGTGATCAGCTCGTCGCAAGGCCTCTACATAAACACAGGACAACAAAACACAGAATAAACGCATATACACACCAAAAATTCATACTGTGTGTGGGATTCGAACCCACGATCCCGGCTTCCGAGCGAGCGAAGACAGTACATGCCATAGACCGCTCGGCTATCGTGACCGGCTACTGACATGTGCCAGGGCCATACTTTCTTTTTAAAAATCATCTGTCCGCAAGTTTAGAGGACTTCCTAAACTTGCTTACCTTTCAGTTTGAACTTAAATCGGTTTATTTTTTTATCATATTCTTCGTCCATTCTTGTACTGTGATCAGTGCAGCTGTGTCACAAATCTTCTAATATACTAAGTGTTCGCGTCTGTCCTAATTTTTTTTTTCTTGTCTAATAATATCACACAATTAAAGCTCTCAAAAAACTCAGTTTCATAAAGCCGATTCCCTGTAATGTTTGCTCTCCCTCATCACGCGTGTATCCTATTCAGCTGGCAGACAATGGCATTATCTATTAGAAGTACCACTTAAATATTCATTATCAGATGTAGCGGCGATAATAATACATGCTGCACAATACTATTAGGATGACACGAGTAACTAAAACATAAAGTAAAGCTCATGGGAACAGAAGGTCGAAGGAATATTGAGGGTCTGGAAGTATGTCTATCTCCGCATTCATTGGAGGTAAGCGTTTATCCCACTTCAGTTCACAGAGCACAGTCTGTGAGCACCTGTTCGCGCTCTTCCTCTCGCTGATTTTCTACTTTTTTCTTCTACCCTAAATATGGAGGCGATACGTTCCTCCGAAACGTCGGTTAACACAATATCTACACGGCGCAACATCCCCGCTTTCCTTAGGCTTAGATTTCTTGGTGAACATTTTAACCTCTTGCATAAAACTTCTTGCAATATGCTTATGGAAAAACGTGTTCGTAATAATATACGTACACTATAAAAAATCTATCGGATTTCTGTGATCGAGTTAAAATCACTTAGGGTCGGATCGAGTAGGGTCGAGTCGGGTAAACTGCTGCTGGTCCTCGTTAGTATCGTTATTCGTAGTCCCTAGTCCCGAGGGACTGATGACCATATTTTTCTGTCTCATGAATTTGGAAGTGGTGTAAATAACTTTGAACTCACTCCGTATTCCAGTCGCAATATTCAGTACTTTTCTGCCGACCTTGAAAGCAGACTGAACAGAGAGGCTTCTGACTTTGTCAGCTGATAAAGCTACAGACTACACGACTGCAAGCCGTACATATTAGTATTGTTTATACATGAACAGAGATCAAAACTTAAAAAATGATGGGCACAATAACGAAAATATTTTAAGTCCTGAAAATATGTAGGATATTTTTAATGACGCTATGTTATCGTCTTGCGCTGTACGTGTGAAATTCGACCGTCGTATTTGATAGACAAATCGGTCCGCATCTCGAACAGGAAACTTCTCGTATATAACCTATGTGGTTTTCGTAGGTTTTCTGAATGTCTCCAGACTCATCGTCCATGGCGCGTCTTGTTCCGTATGCTTTGCAGCCGGTCAAGGTGACAGCTTCGTGAAGGAAGCAAACATGCTGCTGGAAAAGCGCGCGAACGCAATGGTTGCACAGTGTGTGGGCGGGGAGGGCTTACGTGGCATCTCCAGTGCGAGACAGGAGTTGCCGGTGAACTCCCGCGCTGGTCGGTCGCTCTCAGGGTAGTTCGCTGCTCCCGTTGAATGTGTCGTGTGGCCTCTCGGATTCTTTTCAAGACTCCCATTTCTCATGATGGCGGAATAATCAAATATTGATTTTATTATTCAAACATTTCCTCCAGGAAGAAAATTGTCTGTTACAGGCCTTTTTACGAGTAACAAGCAATCAATAATTCACGGTTGGAATGAATGTGCAGGAAAATTTTAATTAATGTGTGCCAAAAGGCAATACCATCGGTGTCAGTTTCAGTGTATAATTTTCCAAAATCTTGCATGAATATTTTATTATTTTTGTTCGTAATAATGAATATTACTGTGCCTCTATTTTCGTGTTTCCCTGGTGTTTAAAAATTGCTCGAATTGCATGTTAAAGCACATATCTTGTTGGAGAAGAAGTATGTAAAATAATCAACTACAGGTAGGTTAGGACTGAGTTCAGTGATGAATGAGGCCCATTTGTCTTCAAACAAGTTTCGATGTACACATTATCATTAGTGTTTTGTTTTCGTCTGATGCACTGCAGTGTAATTACAGTTCTCCGTACTGATTGATATCCTTCAAGCTGCCATTCAAGCAAGTGCATGCTATTACTTTTTACTGTGCAACATTTCAGTGTGTGGTGCGTTCAATATTCTATGTGTTTTATGTTGTGAGTCGAAGTATAAAATTGTGTATGTTTTGGTGTCCTTTCAAGCTGGTAATTTCCAGTTCGTCTCAGATTTTCTATCTCGTTTGTTTGCAAAGTTGTGTGGGCATTAAGTGAAGTTCTTCGAATTATTCGTCAGTTCTTTGTTATTTGGCTGAGAAGTAGCAAACTGAAAAAAGTGACAATGTACTCAAGGAGTCAGCGGTACCAACGCCATCATTGCCAGAGAATGGTAGCACTCATCATTTGGACCAGCATCCTGTCACTCCACACTGGTTGCGCTAATCATCACAGATCGAGAAGTAAGTTCTTATACGACATTTGACTTTTCTATGAAGGCATTCGTATTGTAATCCTTTCAGATTTAACACGGCGTGCCAGTGTTTCGGGGAAAGTATTGCCTCTGTCTTATCCCCCAGAAGGTCACGATCTCGTTATCTAGCGACGTTTTTTACGCATCTTGTCCTTATGAATTCAAACCGCAATAAAAATAAAGACTTATTTTTTGGGTTTAATTGAAGTATTCTGTAAACAGAAATTAGAAAATATTTCTTTCTTTTAAAAAGTCACGCATTCTTATTTAAAAGTAAGGTAAAGGCAAAACTACCCCTATAACAGGGCGTGTAGGCCCATAGAGTTGTGAGACGTCGATGCTCTCACATTTTCTAGACGACCGGCTCACAGATGTCGGTGAGGTTATCAGTCTTACGCTACGGCCGCCCGTGTCCACCCCCTCCCCCGAAATTTTCCTGGTATTCGTAAAATAATTTTAGTCGCAAAGTCACGAAACATAGATGGGAGGTATGCTAACGAAATTACATTTAGACTTATGAAAATGCTTAGGAAGATTGCGAGATACCAGTTTCTGTCCAGCATGTAAACAGCTGAAAATAAATCATAATAATGGGATTTATATATGTTCAGAATTTAGATAAAGTTGAGTCTGGGATACCCGTATTAGAAAAGGCTTCATGGTGTATAAAAAAAGTGAAATCTGTAAGGGAAGAACAAGAAACTCGTTTGAGAACAGTAAACTCTCGACCATCGATTACTGTAACCCACACGTATCGACGTGGAGTACTTTGTTTCTCCCAGACGCCACAGTCCCTCTCGACTGGGTCAATTCAATAAGGGACTAATTGCAAGAAGCTTTACTCGAATTCAATTATTTAACAGATGGAACATAAGACTGTAATGAGCACATATGTACGTACATTTCGCAGACAAGTGAAACTGGAAGAAAAATACGGCGAAATTTAAATTTGGAATAGAAATAAACAGTAGTACATAAAATTACGCACGCGGCAGCGTAGTTGGTTGAGGGGCTATGCTACAAGCCGGAAGGTCCCGGGCTCAGATCCCGATGAGGTCATTGGATTTTTTCAATTGACCTAATCCTTCCAGCCGCACTATGGCCCTGGTGTCGACTCAGCCTCTAACAGAAATGAGTACCAGGAAATAATTAAATGATTTTCCTGGAGAGTAAAGCGCGGCCGGCGAGTAAGGCTGACAACCTTGCCGCCATATTTGAGCCGATTGTCTAGAAAATGTGGGACCCTCAACTTCTCACAACCATAAGGTGCTTTACGGCCTGGTATAGGGATAGTTTATTTTTTTTTACATGGAATTCCGCGCGTGTTGTCCCTGATGCTTCACTGACATATAAAGCGGTCTTATATTCCTTTTACTTTTACTGCGTTTATTTATATCTGTCAGTCTCCTTTGTAGCTCTGAATGAAGAGTACTCTTCTAAGCTTCTGTTTATGAGCGAGCTTCGGGCCGGGTCATTAGCGCAAGTTGTGCATGTCATAACGTGTAAGAATCTTGCAGATCGTCCAGCCAGGGGCTAGAAAAAATTAGTTCAGGGCATAACAACAAAGACAGAGAGCGGCAACTTCAGCATTTTACACGAAGTGAAAACAAAGCGAGAATTGGGTTACATTAAAAAACATACCAATCCTTCCGTAAAACAGTTTAACGCGCTGTTATCTATTCCCTAGAGAGTGGCGTTAATATTTCTATGGAGTTTCTGACTGCAGTTAGCTAAATGCAGAATCGCTGTATATGGATACAATATGAACACTGTTTCAAAATATAAATTTAGGCATTCATTTATCCTTTGCTAGTAATCGTCATAGCGGGAAAAATAATACTAAATTTAATTACGTTAATTTGAACATACGGATATAGATTATACATAAAAATGAGGAAATTATGACATGTTTCCCTAAGCACAACTGTCATAAATAGTTGTGGTCTCTTATGAAACAGCAATCAAAACTATGTTTGCCTTAGTGATTTAGAGTGAATTATAATAGATTGCCTGCATATTGCTTAGGATATTTTTTTTAATTCACTTAGGGGGGGTGGAGGCCAACTGGGTCCACTCGGCACGGCGGCCACTGATTGGCCTGTTGTACCTGCACCGGGTGATTATGATGATGGAGAATTTTGTGGAATGAAGATTGGCAGGGGAAACCGAAGTACTCGGAGAAAACCCGCCCCAGCGCTATTATGTCCACCGGAAATCCCACTTGACCAGACCCGGGATCGAACCCGGGCCGCCGCGGTGGGAAGCCAGCGACTAACCGCTTGAGGTATGGCGCGGCCTTGCTTAGGATAACTGGATAACTTAAGAAGTAAGCCTGATGTACCATATAAAACTCATGTACCTCCTCATTGCTCCAAATTTAATTTCCGGTAACGCTCGTGTTGAGATTGTAACAATCCGAAGAACAGAGAATTTTTCAGTTTCTTCCGTACTGAAATATAAACTTAATCTGTGAATACAATGACCAGATTAAACCGGCCTGCAGTTGATAATTTAGGTTTGAGTGATAAGAAATATCATGACCATTTTCAGATTAGTGTTTTTGTTTCTGTTTGTATGGGTTACGTTTATGCATTGTTACACCAAAGCGTCGCCAAATGTCATTCCATTTCAAGACGGTAAAAATGACTGCCAGACCTAAGTATCTACAATTGAAATGTGTGACATTCACCACACACACACACACACACACACACACACACATATATATATATATACATATTATTTTAGTTGTTTCTTTTCGAATAATACGGTTTCATAAAGGTCGCTTAATTTTTCGAAATGAGTGTCGGAATTGTACGTCAAATATAAAGGGAAACCTGATAATGATGAAAACTGTTTGTGCATGAGGATACATACGAGTGGGTGTGTGAGTGCTGGTTAGCGTAAATATTTAATTGGATCCCACCCGCTTCTTTAGAACTGCAATTCCTTTGTAATGCGGTTCGCGGTGCGACAAAGCGTTGTGACGAAACCCGTATAAAAGCACCAGAACAATGTAGAACTGGAGATAGTCCCTAGCGACGGAGTAACAATGAAATACGTATTTATTCACGCCTCGTGTTTCCATATTATTCATGACAGTGCCCAAGAAAAGCCTTTTTGTTATCTGAGAATCCGTTTAAAGGCTCGAAATCCTTTCCAGACCTCAAATTTTGGTATTGTCTGGTTAGAAAAATTTGTTTGTTCTTGAATACGGTTACGTGTTAGGCTTTTTATTCATATTAAAAGTACGAACATTAACAGAAATAAAGAATATTTGCTTGTTCTTCTGCATGGCCATGCATTAGGCCCTATGGCCTGTTCTAATCTAGAATTAACGCCTGAATCTAAGGATCTCTCAGACATATGATAGGATCCTTGAATTTGGAATCGGCCCATCGCCGGCCGTGATCCTACGTGTGAAATGTACGAACACACATCAATTCTCCGAACTTGATTCGAATTTACGATTCCGCTGTTTTAGTGGTCGCATGCACTGTGCAACGCAGAGAGCGCCACCACTCTGAATAGCTTGATAATGAATATTCATTGCAGTATTCAATTTAATTTTATGGGTGGTAGGACGTAAATGAGAGACTCGAAAATACTTGCCAAGATCGTCTTAGTATGTGGGTATATACACAAATTAATATTTTAAAATATTGGCTAAGTAAAGTAACCAATGGCCCACGCGCGTCAGATCACATTTTACACACGACTGATCTAAGTTACGGGCGTCATTTTTCATCATTTTGGAAGTGTATCTTCCCTCAGCGTGTTACGTAGGCCATTAATAAAAGTAACACATAAGAATTCACCCTATGTTATATTTGCTTTACACTTTATGCGTGTTGGCTATAATAACCGACCTTAATCATTACCTTGTAATAAACGGCACATACACAGCCAACTAATCCAACAGCGAAGAAATATACAAACTAATGGAGCATATATTGACAACGATAGTAACATTACAACGGCATCCGTATGAGCTACACGAAACAACACGCAAAGCACCGACGCCGCAGGAGGAAATCAGTGCTAGAGAACAGAACGACGACAAATGCGCTCAAGCAAATATCTTTTATGAACTGATGACGACAAACGAAACGACGATGATATGTTTTAATTTGGAATTAATTCATTTTAATTACAGTGGAAAATACAGTGTAACGGATTTAGCAAGATAAACAGTTGCGGCGAATCATGTAACAAAGAGGAGGAGTTAAGGAAAAATAAATTTGCGTTTCAGACGGAAGTGTATGTGTGTCTAAGTGACAACATTGAGTTGGAACTCGGATGGGATCCGCCTTCCCACATTATACACACCGTGAGAAAGGATGTCAAGTCATAACTGCTGAACCAAATATTCATTCCATACACAATATTTTCAACGCAAAAAGCAAAATTGTCCCCGTGCTTAACTAATTAAGCACCACTCCATGAAGATGTATGGGGAGTGGATGTATAGATCTGCTTTTCTTGAGCTCGGTATTAGTTGGTGAGTGGTCATCTTTACGCCCAGGCCGTTTTACCCCCCAGGGAAAGAGCCCCCGGTACCCATTGGATAGGAGATTGGGTGAACCCCAGAGCCGGTCTGGACGCTGTGGAGAAGAGAAAATTCTTGACCCTACCGGGACTCGAACTCCGGCCTCTTGGACATCCGGCCCGTAGCCAGTCGCTGTACCAAGTGCGCTATCCGGATTTCAACTTATTATTATATTATTATATATTTACTGTTTTTTATATTATCATATGCACACATGAGACAATATCACTAGTATCGGCTTTAAAAATATAGTGCAGGAGATTGTGGATTGGAATAACCTGTCTCAGGATACAAGCACATGGCAGCTCTTGTGAACGTGGTAATGAATATAAGCTACTTCAGCTTATCACGACAGTGAGTGTTAAGATTACAGTACTCTGGGATGTTACATTGTGTAATCTGATGAATGGGTTACGAAGGTTTCGGAGACACATACTGCT